TCATCTACATTATACTAAGTCTATTCATAATATATGATTAATTGTATTATATGATTAACCTATGTATTTAATATAAAACTGTAATTGTGATGAGTCAATATTACGAATATCTTATACACACCCAAAAACTTATTATTACTGCACCATACTTTTACTTAAATTTACGTATAAATCTAAATTTAAGTAAAAGTCTTGAGATAAACTGAAGTTTAAAATATATAATGTTATATTGAATAAGTATATAGTATGTGTATATTAACTACAAATAATCCTCTTCACGAGTAAAGACATTTATGTTGCGCAGGAGCACGCATCATATTTAAATCAAAGGGAATCCACCCCTCACCTGTTGTTCCCTACAGGAAACAGGATATTAACATAGTAATCGCATAAATTGAATTATTTTTACGATACACTGGTTAAAGGAATGTATGGTTATAAGTGATTTATTTCACGTTTAATTATACTACATTACAATGTCGGTATTGTAATGATCTTTTGCGGAGTTTTGTTGAGGTTAAATTTGAATGAAACTTGTTCAATTTCTGATACGAAAACTAATTAGTAATTAGGTTGTATCGCCACATCTACAATATAAATCGTATATTTTATTCAGCTTTGTTATTAACCAACGTTATGTTAATATCTTAGATGTAACAATTAAGTTTTTATTAGGTTTGAAAAAAAATGAGCGCCATTTTGACTTATATTGTGACGTAATTCGCTTGTCATTTGAGTAGCGTTACTTACAGTGTAGGAATTTGTAATGGAAAATCGTGTTACTTGTGTTAATTTTCCGAGAATCGTATCGTGTTACATTATTTTCGATGCAAAATTAAATCGGAGTTATTGGATAACATTATAGTAAGAGGGACATTGATGTGATGTAATATTGAGAGGATAGCAGCAGTAGAGTAAATTCATTTGATTTTATGAGAACTGATAGTCAGCCAGGTGTTGTACACCCACGTGTCAGTAAAATCACATTTTATCAAGTTTAAAATTAAGTGGATAATCACGTCGGTGGTGGTGCGACCCCCACCTGTTACGTCCCCTCGGACGGAAATGGGGAATTTGCATTACAATCAAATAGTACCCTCGCATAGCTCACTTCCGGTCTGCCCTGAACCCGTGCCCTCTCGCTGGTGTGCATCAAGTCGACCCCGATTGTGATCTCGTGTGGAATATCCGTTTAAATTGTAAAACAGTCCCGATTTCTTGTTTGTCTTACTTTTACGAGTTCGGCTTAGATATAGATATAAATTCTGCGTGTATATATAACTTTTATATGTTTCTCGTGGTATTGCATATGATGGCACTATATATATTAAAAGTCGATTTTTTACTACAAAAAATAATCTAACCTTTTGGCTCAAAAGCCAAGCTAGAATTTATTTGACGGGGTCTTTGGTGCAATGGTGGCAATGTACGGTTAATATTCAGCAGGTCGTAAGATCCCCACTGGGTTCAACATTTTTGTAATCGATATTTATTTTTCAGAAACATGTTGCACTTCGTCTGGAAATCTGGATATTGAATGGGTGGTAGGAATATCGAATATTCCGTCCGGGTCTCGAACCACCGTCAACAGATGAAAAAGCCGTAAAGTTATCCAAAGGATAAACAGGTCGACGGCGGATCTTGTTAAGACGGCATATGGCTGAGCAAATAGCTCTTACTTACCATCAAGTGACTCCAAGATTGTCTCGCCTCCTCTCATCATAAAAAAAAACGAAATTTATTTATTTTAATTATTTATCAAGACAGAAACATAACAGTATTTAGTAATAATATTAAGTATTTAACATAAAGGAGCATCCGTTTCACAGATGACTTGTGTGTAGAAAGAAGTAAGTTAAAACATCGTGTTTCTTTAAAGAATCAATAATCCAAACACACACACACACAATGAAAAACCGCAAACAAGACAAATTACGATAAATTGGCTGTTTCTACATTTTTTTTCTTTATTTGGAAAAATTTTTTTTTTTACATATATATAATAGTAAGAGAATCCAACGATCGTGTCCTACTAACATAAAGTACCTTAGGTCATTCAACATTCATTTTAGACTTCACAATAATCCTAGCACGAATTTCAGTATATTTATGAAAGCGCACTTTTGTCATTGAAATAGTTCAAGAACATTGCGATGACCTAAATAGGGTGCCTATTTAGTTCACAGATGCGCTAAACACTAGGCCTAGTTTTTCTGCGCCGTTATTCGGAAGGTAGAATCTAAAAAAACGGATCGTGTTTGCCTTTTCGACGTTTGTATCTATACTCATATATAAAGCTGAAAAGTGTGTTTGTGTCTCGATAATCTCAAAATTACTAGTTCCAATTGCGAAAATATTTTCGTGTTGGTAAGACGGCTAGGCTATAAAGCATCCTGCACAGACTAATAGGAACAATGAGAAATGTGGAGAAAACTGGGAAAATTATTCAACTTTGTGGGTTCCCGTAGCGTACGCTGCGAAAACGGCTGATTCCTCTATAAGTGTTGAATATGTCTATCTTTTATGATTAACTTGGAAGAACATCTATGCAGTGAAGACATACTTATAATCCGTCAGGATTTCACTTAATAAGTAAGCAAGTGAACGTAAGTTTCACGATTCGTACCGATATGTTATGCAGATATCATTTTGTCACTTTACCAAAAGCTCGTTTACCTTTATATATATATATATATCTGACGGTAGGCCTCATCTAGTTCAAAATTAGCACCGGGTCTTGCACTGGAAACGTTTTGGTTTCAGCGTAGTTTCTAAATGTCCAAAGCCGGAATAGGTCGACCACGACAACGTATCTTGTTCGATGTTTTATGCTATTTCATTTTCCACCAAGGGGGAACCCCGTGTCAAAATAACTCTTTGATATTAAATACTGTCTGTAGTTTAACCGAGTAGTACACATTGAAATAAAACATTTAACGGTTTAAAACGCGATAAATATAAGTTAAACTTATTTGAATGCCCGACGTTTCGAATGCTTTGCAGCAGCCGTGGTCACAAAGAAACAAACCTGCAAAGCATCCAGAACGTCGGGTGGTAGTTAAAATAATTTTCAAATAAGTTTAACTACCATACATCGAGTTTTAAACCGTTAAGTGTTATTTAAATCTCTTTGATGTTTTTTAACGTCTCGTGTGTTTTTTATTTTTGCTATATTCATTTTGTTGGCGTGCGTCGTGAAGGACGATTCTGTAATTATAAATCATTTTTACTTGAAATCTATGTTTTTATAAGTTATTTTTAAAACCCAGTTGAAGTATATAGTTAAGAGATTATGCGATAGGTTGCATCAAGAGTCTGCATCTGTGGCTTATCTAAAGCACGTTCGCGAAGCCTTCATTATGTATGCCTTTGAAGGGATAGTTTGACATTCCAACTTCAACTTGCGTCTTAGGAAACGAAAACAGTTTAAATTTTACGCGAAATATATATACGATATGGCGTTTTAGATTCTTGGCAATAGTTTTAAAGAAATTATCATGTATTTCGTTGTAAACAGATGATTATAAAATGTATCAAGGTGACATATATAAATAATTCGTGACAATACACATCTTTAAGCAAAGCCTAGTAGTTGTTATTTTCTATTGGAAAGAATTATATTTGAAGCCTCGGATTTCCATCAGTCTACAGAAAGTTACCAATTTCATCCAAAAACTAGTATTAGATACATATCTATAGTTTACGCGAGTTCACATTTAAATAAAACCATTTATTTATTTATATAATTCTTTATTGCACAAAAAATAAAAATATTACAAATTAAACTTATATACTAGAATGGAGAGCAATGGGCGGCCTTATCGCTAACAAGCGATCTCTTCCAGGCAACCTAAAGTTATGAAATGTTAAGAAAATGAGATGTGCAAGGTAGGCGAAACAAATTAATACAAACAATAAATAATCATAAACAAAAAAAACACAAAAAAAAAAAAAAAAAAAAAAGATCTAAAAAGGTTACATGTTTACTAACTTGAACTAAATATATTCAAAATAAATTTAACGGTTTAAAACGCGATGTACATATCATAGTTAATCTTACTTCAAAAATTATTTTAACTACGGCTCGATGTTCCGGTTACATGTTTCAATATCTCCTTGTGTTTGGTAGTTTTTTAATTACTAATATTCAATATTTAGTAAAACTTAAAATGTGTGTTTATAACTGAAAACTATTTAAATTATACTCTTTTTACTGGTTTAAATTACATACGGCCGGCCGTTTTGCTACAAGCATGCGCCGTAGTTATAATTAATTATAAATAAAGAATACATTTCACGTTTGGAACCGTTAAAAGTATTTTTAAAATTTGTTTAAGAACTAAACGAAATAAATGCTAAAATCTAGTCAATAACATGTCTATATCAATAGATCGCACGAAGCTGTTTAAGGTTGGCTTATCATGTAGAAGACCCGTGACCTTCTGATATATGTGTGTAGTGGGTAGGACACGCTCAGAACTCATGTCCTGTAATCTCCTTAGTTTATATAATTCGTAAGTCATATCGCTTCATTAAACAAAACAGTTTGGATATTACTACATACAAATTATTTGATAAGTCATTACGAAACCGGAGTCTGGATTAAGGAACCAGGAGTAAGGATGGTGTTAGAAAATTAGTTGTTTAAGTGAATTATTAATAATTAATATGTTGAGATAATTATTTTCTAATTGTGATTTGATTTCACGCGACTAGGACATATCGAATTGAACTCGTGATCGCTGATGCTAAAGGCATCCGGGACGTCGCGGTCGGGTCTTAGTTTAAATTATCAATGTTAATGTTATGTCAAAAAGATTTTCGGTTAATATAAAATTTGCGTAAGTATTCTTAACACACATTTGAAACATAGATCTTTATTATACTTGAGTTAAAAATACAAATTACCTAGCAACGCGTTACGTAACCGAGAGAATTACAGAGGGCACAAGGACTAAGCGCTCCTCTGTGCGACGCGATGCGAAGATTCATTTTCTTGATCACATGGCATTAGTGACATAAGTGTCATCCGGCGTATAAATTTTCCCGCGTGGGGGCGCGAAGGGCGGGAGGTCGGAGGGGGAGGCAGAGGGCGCGGCGGCTGCGCGGGCGCACCGCTCACCCACTCGGGCCTCTCGTTGTCCGCCCGCGCCACTCGCCCGGCTAAACAAGGGCTAGCTCTCGGGGGATTTTGCTGTCATCTCACCTTGAGACTATGCAACACAGCGTCACCTTCGAATCCGAGCCACGAAGAATGCCCTTTCTCTAATTAAACATTCCTAGTTTATAAGCGGCAATACTCGTTGTGAAGTAGGAAAAATAACGGTACGAATGATGAGTGCGCCTTTCGGATGCACACGTGTGGGAAGCGTTTGCGCAAGCGCAAGGCTCCCAAACTACCATGGGCAAAGTACCGTGGAAGAGAAAGGCGAAATTAAGCGGCTTTAGAGGTCCGAAAATTTCGACTGCTTCCGATAATTCGATGCATCACTGGGGTATTTTTGACCAGTACTGATTTAAAAAGGGCGTTATTTGAATATACCTTATTCGATTTCTTTAAATTTATTCTATTGAATTGAGACTTGGCACACATTTTTACGCAACTCGACAACCAAATACAGTCATAGACCAATTACTATGTAAAAAATATTCATTTACTTAAATGCTAACTCACTGTGACGCCGGGTGTACCTCTACAAACCTGCCTCGTAAATTGTGAAGGTCTTGTACACCATCAGTAACGCACTTGCTGCCTAAAATGTTTTCTATGATATAATTTTTTTGTTCTACGACCTGTCGTTTACATTAAAAGTTTACACTTTTAGACGGCTTAAAACGATAACTTGCGTGACTACTGAAAGGCTTTTAAAATATTGGGTAGTATTTTAACCTAATGTAATACGTTTCAAAGAATAATAACTAATTTAAGAACCTCAGTATTTGGTTGATAAATATCGTTTAAACATACACTTAATAGGACAGATCTATACATTTCATGGTTAAATAATTATTTTTATAAATCAACGCAAGAACTAACTTAATAAGAAAAATTTAATTTAAGATAGACGAAGGAAATATGTATTGTAGTATATATATGTACCTATGTATTAGGTATGTGACTTTGGGGTGATCAAATATTTGGCGAAGGTCATTAACATACAATAGGTTTGACTTTAAAAGGAGGGGATTGTTATGTCAACGATAATTCTTTATATAACTTAATGATAATTTATTTATCCATAAATTTGGTGTACTTTTTGTACTAGGTCGTAGAAAAAGTCACTAAAAGATTTTAATTGTTAAAAATCGCATTCTAATTGTATGAAACCGTGTAGGTATATGTTTAATATATTTTATAGTTAAATAGTTACATCTCTCTGTACATTTATATTTTTTGTTATCTCAGATATATTAACTCATTTAGGAACTCATCATCATGTATGTTATACGTACAAAATGTATATTATATTTTTTTAACTCTATGTTTATCCATCTACAAACTTCCAAATTTTGAAATATAAAAATCACAGACACGCGGTAGGTCGATGAACTCACGTGGAACCACCCTAATTTCACATTCACCATCTCTGTCTCGCAAGAGCGCGATTACTATCTCTATCTCCCTCACCCCGGACATTCTCACGTGCGCGCGCGGCATTACACCGGCGTCTATCAAAACCTCTATGACACTAGACTCACAGATAAAGTTATTGCATAAACATGACCATAATAATTATAGATTAAAAATTAAAATGGCGCATTATACCATTGTATTAATCCCTAATATATACAACGTTTTAAATTATATCACGGTGTTTTTAATAAAATTTAAAACAAGCCAATTATAAAAGAAATAAACTATGGCCAATTAAATGTATTACTTAATAATGTCTCAATCACTAGAAAAATAGTACATTCGCAGTAGCTATTATCTTTGTTTTACGTTGTATAGCAGTATAATAAAAGCAATTAAACAAATTGTAATAGTTAAATCTGACTTCAGAACTCAGTTTATATATTATTTATTTTTGCTTAATAAGCGTATATTTTATTAATATCAGAACAATGTTGTCATCATAGTGTATTGAATCATTGCTAGACGTACTTTGTAGAACTTTTATTAAAATATTTCCACTTCCAAGTTTTTAAGTAAAACCTGTTTTCTATGTAAACAAGACCTTTCAAACAAGTATTTTTCATCCATATAGCCAACTCCTTGTCACACATCTACGAGACACAATATGTAAGTAGGTGAAATTATTATTTTTTAAATTTGTTATCAGATATCGATAAAGTAATAGTTTGTCTTGAAATATGAAAATTGGATGTAAGTGAAGCAGATATTTTTTTAATGCTGTTTGTATATCCATGTAACTACTGAATATCCTTTTAAAAAAAGTTACATTCAGCTATATATTTTTCATTTAAGATTAAAACAAAGGTAGTATTGGTGTACTTATTAATTATTATTATAGTAAATCCTGTCCTGAGCTAGAATGAAAATATCGTGTGATTTAACTATTCATCTTACAAAAAAAACTTTCTTTTATGACAGCGGTCAGACAAGCTCTGGGGTTCATGTAATGAAAGGTGAAATACTCCAGCCATATAACATCTTAACAAGATATGCTATCGACCTATTTTTGGCTTCTGAAATGGACTTTAAGGCGATTAAACTTCACGACTATTTTATCTGCAAACTGTATTTCGTGATCCGACATTTTAATTGTCATATCAATCATGTTGTGTCCATGTTTTCAAACGACGACAAGCACAGGAACAATATGGACCTGGTGGGGATCGAACCCTCAACCCGAGTTTGTTACCAATACATTGCTACCATTAGTCGAAGTACAAGCATTCTATTCCCACATCAATATCTTATTCTATATAAATAATGGTAAACTCCAAAGGTATACTGAAATTCCTTGGTGTACTTTTTCGCTTAAAGGGTGCGAAGAATGATATCATACGATTCTAGGTACGGTAAAGAACATGACAACCCATCACTTACCCGAAGCAATCTCGAGTTGATTTTCACAATCTTGATATATATCACCATTGCAATAAGAACTAAAACCGCGTAATCCTTTAAAGACTACACGTATATACTTAATATATTATCGTGTTATGTAGGCGATTCTTCAAGGTCTTATAATCTCGTAATGGTGGTGGAATAATATAGACTTTGTCTATGTAATGTTTATATTATCTGTGGACTTTTGTGCATTGAAACAACGGTGGGTTTAAAAAGATTCGATTTGATATAAATGACAATCTGATTGATATAGATAAAAAATCAGACAATCGATATCTTAAGATAGCGCGTTTTAAAAAAAGAAGTTTAAAAACGTATTCGCAAATTTGTTGCCAAATTCAGTTTTTTATTGATTCATGGATTTTGTCTACACAATCCTTATATTATAGCACTGCGGTTCAAGGCTAATAACACTGTAATACGTAAGGCTGTATGTGTACCTGCCATTTTCTCCATACAGCATCTACTTATTTCAAAGTTGGTGAAAAGAAGGATCGCGTTTATAAACTTTGATTTTTTCATATTATAAAATTAAAAATAGATTTCGATTGAAAAAAAAAAATTTTTTTTTTTTATGATACTGTCTATAGTTTACGCGAGTAGTACACCATTTAATTAAAACTTTTGAAAATCATTTTCAAATTTTAAACCGTTAAAGTGTTTTATTTAAATTTAATTTAGATCAATTGGTTAGACCAGGAGCCCGGTCCCGATCGTGTCTTAATTTTTGTGAATCTAAATAGATTTTAACTAGGTTCTGTATGCCCTCAGCGTAACTGACGCAATTATTATCCTTTCAAAGGATTCGACCCTAGGACTTCTAACGCTATGGCAATACAGTATGTAAACTTAAAAAAGGACTTTGGATATTCGGAAGTCCACAAAATGAAACGATAAAATTTACAATGCGAAGTACCTACCACCCATTCCATATACCAGATTCCAACAAAGGAACACCATTTCAGGATTATTTTGAATTTGTAAAAAAAAATTTTTGCCCGGGGGGGGGGGGGGGGGGGGCAAACATTGCTACTATTACACCAAAGAGCCCGTCAAGGATATAAAAATATATGAACGGAAAATTAATGTATTGTTTAAAAATCGTGCTTACCAAAAATTTAATACTAGGTTTTCCTTCACAAACACACAGCCTTCAAAATGCTATAAAGGCCCTAATCCCTTCTCCGCTTACAACATATTTGCGCGCCACGCTCATATTATGATTAACCCTTTGATACATTCGCCGAACCGTAAAATAACTATAAAACGATACTAAAACATGCGCATTTACACCCGTCGTTTATCATCCTGCAAAATGGAAGAAAGTACAAACGTTAAGCCTAGAAAGTCATTACTGTTATAAAATGAAAACGTAGATGAGCGTAGTCGTCAATTTTACAGCTTAGTGTACTGTTAAAGTTTAGTGTCGAATAACAATGATTTCTAATGCGCATGCGCAAACTACACGGGGCTGGTGGAAGTGTCAATATTATTCGACGCTACGTGCCGTGGTGTCGTTTCGTAGGAGCAGTCCTCGGGGTGACCTTGCGGCGTGGGAGAGCAGCTAGAAATCGGCCCCAGGCTTACGAAATTCTCAACCACTCGGCGACTTAGTTCTCTTTCACCTTGTACCCTTATAGTGCGATTTCTTAACCGACTATGCCTAGAGCTTAGCAATTGGCCAAACAAGAAGGCTGGCGAATATCCTCGAATTTGATCTATAGAATCATTATCTTATTAAGTATTGTCTGTAATTTACGCGAGTATTATTAGTTAACTTATTAATTTTACCACGGCCTGACATCTCAGATGGATTGCAGCAGCTTAATCACCCGGCTCCACTTATAAGTCATTTGAATTAAAAAAGTGAAGATTTTTAACTACTACCTACCATATACCTACATAGACAAAAAATAACACTTCCTCTTAGCTCAGTCATCGGGTAAAAACTGTCGTCTATAGCTTTGTAGCAGGTGCATGGTTAATCGACGCGGCGTTAAAAGATATCGTGAGAGAGAATTAGTGATGAGGCGCACAGTAACGGGACGATGGTAACGGGTGTTCCTTGTGCGATTGTTTCTATTTTCCACATACCTATTAACAAAAAAGCTAAGTGCACAAAGCTTTCGAGAAAGACGGTATACGCTACTTGTAAGAGTTTTGAACGTATTACTGACGCTTCACGTTATAGCGCAGGAAATGTAAGTAAAATTAGTTTCTGTAGCTGCCGGCAAGAGAAGCATTGATGGAGGAACGTGTGAATTGAACGTGTGACATTTGATTTTCAAACAACTATTGCCGGCCGTTGCAAGTACAGTACGTTTGATTAACTAGAAGTTTGTCGAAATAATGCTCAAATTTCCAAGCATGTTTGAGAAATACTTATAACAGAAGTGAGAGACCGACGAAAGCTAAATACTGATTCTTTCTAAAAGCCTTTAATATAATAAAGACTTTTCGAAAGACTATTTAGCCGATATAACAAAAAACTCAAAACCCTAACAAGAATGCCTTATTTCCGTAGATTTTCGATATTAATTACAATTCAATTTTAATTACAGTGGCAATTATTTGTAAATGTATACTTAGTGCGCCGGCACAGCGATATAACGTCAGTTTTGACGTCCATAACGACCGCCATCTTTGAAAATCTAGGACGGTTGTATGCAGCAGATAGATCGAATACAACATTTGAACACACATAAATATAAATTCACAGATAAAACCTATTGTCCAGTTGTATCTCAATTATCTAAGATAGTAAAGTTTTCAACTTAGAATGCCATTTGCGTTCAACATAACGGTTGGATGAAAGGACATATTATAAAAACTGATTCGTCGAACCCTCAACATTTTAGGGCAAAGCTTAAAATCGACTTGCCGTATTCAATGAAATAAATTACCTAGATTCCACATGACATAGCTGGCTCAGTCCGAGTGTCTAGACCTTCTTGGAACTGAAGATCGCGAGAGGCAAAGGAAGGGTTCCTTTGCCGCACCCTAAACGAGTTACGAATAGTAGGTTAGTTGACATATATCACTTTTTCGATTAATTAATCAAGATCGATAGAGAGACTCAGCACTGCAGAGACTCACGACGCGAAACTTGTTAAATTCTAGCTACCATATCAATAACGACTGTACGAATTAAACTCGCTCTACCCGCAACCTCGTCCGTGTGGAATAGTTATTTTTGCAAATAACTTTAGTTTTATAAACTATAGACTGTTACAACGTCGTCCCCGTCCCGTCGTTCTTGCAAGTTAATCTTTAAAAGAAGACATATAGTGTCATGCACTTTTTTTAGATCATTCCATTCAAAGATGAATAATTCTTTGATACATATTTTTGAATACTGTCTATAGTTTACGCGAGTAGTACACATTTAAATAAAACACTTTAACGGTTTAAAACGCGATATATTAGTTAAACTTATTTGAAAATTATTTTTAACTTCGGCCCGACGTTTCGGATGCTACGGGCGTCTCCCCGTGACCACGGCTGCTGCAAAGCATCCGAAACGTCGGGCCGAAGTTAAAAATAATTTTCAAATAAGTTTAACGAATATATTGCGTTTTAAACCGTTAAAGTGTTTTATTTAAATACATATTTTTGGTTTC